CAAAGCCAAAGTTCTGGGTACAAATAAAGCCAAAGTTCTGGGTACAAATAAAGCCAAAGTTCTGGGTACAATTAAAGCCAAAGTTCTGGGTACATTTAAGGCCGAATCCTGCCTGCACCTATGTGTACTTCGGATGCGACTGGATCATTTTCAAAGCGTACAAGTCATATACAGTACATGGTGTGCACGAATACACGCTGCACAATGGTAGCAGATTGGTTTTGAGGCCAGGCAAATGCAGCCCGTGAATAGGTGTGTATGAATTGCAATTGGGGTAGACTGCCAGAACCAGCCGATAGATACGCAGGTGGTCAATACGTGGCAGCAACATACCAATTCATCGTGATTCTGATACAAAACAGACTACGGACGAGGATCATAGAGCGACTGTTAACAAAAAGTTCGGTACAGCTCCATTACAGAAATCTCAGAGACACACACTCGAGCCTGTTGAGTGTAACGTAACATACCCGCCTACTAAATCAGTCTTCAGATATTCCTTGACACTGTCCACCATGAAGCACATGATTGTTTTGGGCACCAGATCCTTGATGGTGAGACCTAAAATCACAAGCAACAGCATAGGATGGTGGGTAAAGAATAAGTAGGTGATTTTTTTCTTCAAATATGTATTTCACGGCAGATAAATATCACCATGTACACGTGCCCTTTAATAGGTCGGTAGATTTAGTACACCAATCTGACCGTGTGCTAATCTCCATTCGGCACTAAATGAAGCACGCCCATACCACAAGAATCTTTGGAAAGGTTGGAGAATTCGTCGAATAATAATAAATTCGATGCAGCAACAAGCGGTGCCAACAGATAACAAAAATCGGCATTTCTGCAGTCGTCCGTTTGATCGGGATGAATAAGGACAAGGCAATATCTCTCATGTTTGAAAAGGTAGATGTTTGGGCTCCCATATTACGCTACGTGTGGATGCATACAAGCTACTAGTCTGTACGCAACTACACCGCCCAAACTGTTGGGTCGCATATATCTCTACTATCACAACAAAAAATCTATAAGGTACCGATACCGCCTGTAGTGGTGGACATCGATATACACGTACACGTTACTACACTATCGGCCCAGTTACATACCCACAATGTTCATGTACGAGTCCACTAAATTACGGATGGTCTCCACCTGGCGCTCCATGGCCGGATCCATCGAATCATGATCCTGCATCAAAGCAAGGACAATGGATTCACCTTGAATACTGTGTTGACAAGTCTGTGTTACTATCCTCACAAGCGTACGTGCCATAAGTATACAACTCGTATACATTGTATTACAGATAGTTTGCTACAACTCTCATTTATATCAAGGACTTTGACTGCAATACATGTGTAGAACCACATCTATCCCAAATAATCATATATGCATATGCAGAGTATCACCCACCTGCATATACAAAACCATTCCAAATAATCATATATGCATATGCAGAAAATCACCCACCTGCATATACAAAACCATTCCTAATAGATACAAAACCATTCCAAATAATCATATATGCATATGCAGAGTATCACCCACCTCCTCTTTAGGCTCGCCGTCTTCGTCTTCCTCGCCTTCTTCGAGACCTTCCGACGGGAACACACCCGCGCGCAAGAACGAGGCCTTCCATGACTCACACTCCTCAGCACTGTTGCCATGCATCACCAATGTTTTATTGTCCTTGAACAGGAATCTGTAGGTGAGGGAGTGTGATGAGAATCCGAGAATCGGCTAAGGTTATATGGGCATAGGTGTTTGTATTATGGCCGAGATGGACATTGCGATCGACGTGGAATCACACGCACACGTGAAGATCTGAAGGAGACGAGGACATGGAAATACACGACACACACACACACACATATATATATATATATATGTATATAAAGACAATCCTATTTGTTCAGTTATGTAAATTTAAATGATTGTAAGGCCGACCTCAGATTTCCTAACTGCGATCGAACACTTATTGCCTTCATCAATAAATGGTTTAACATAACACATCAAATTTGATTTGGGCTAAGGCGCACATGAAATCATACTACTACGCACGCGCAGTAGCAGTGCAAATACCAAAGTTAGTAAGTGATGAATCATGCATAATACTGGCTCGCGGACTAGAATAGAAATCATATACTGTATAGAAAACTAGAATAGAAATCATATACTGTATAGAAAACTAGAATAGAAAATATATACTGTATAGAAAACTAGAATGGAAAAGATATACTGTATAGAAAACTAGAATAGAAATCATATACTGGATATAAAACTAGAATAGAAATCATATACTGGACATAAAACTAGAATAGAAATCATATACTGTATAGATAATTAACCGTGCATACTACCACACACGGGTTCAATAAACTACGACTATATAAGGAGATGTACATATAAATACGAACATGTATTATGGAAGGGCATACATGTTCATAGAAGGAAATCTATATATAGCTCTTACTTCTGTTGGGGATTGAATAGTTCAAACCCGTGCTTTTTGCCACCCAGCAATCCACCCACGGCATCTCTAAGCTTGAGGCCCTCGAGCGGAAGCAGATACTTCTGCTCTCTCTCCTGTTAATTCAAACGTATCGTTGAGATTTCCGAAACTGCACATCTGGACCTTTTTGTGTATCTCAGCTTAATAAGATGCTCGATATTGTGGTCATACATGGTCATTACAAACACACACGCACACACGCACACAGATATATATTTATGTATATATATAAATTCATACATACATACATACATACATACATATACA